CCCCTCCCCCCTCCTTTTCTCTCTCTTTCTCTTAAAAAGTCCAACGACGGTCTTGAAATGCTACTGTCAACTGATCAGCCCAGGTGATTCAGAATGATTGTATGTATTCTGGCCATCGGCTAGCGTCTGGATCTGCAGCTTAAAGAATTTCCTTCTCTTTGCTCTCATGAACCTGGGTCACTGACACAGATGTTTCGAAGTTGGGGTGAAAGAAAAGAAAAAGAAAAAAAAAGCCCTGGTCTTTGTATAGTCCCTGGTCTTTTTTGTAAGTTTGTAGTCGAGTTTTGCACTGATGATTGATCAAAATCCGAGGTTCAGAATTCCCCCTTCTCTTCCCAGGACGTGAGTGCCCAGAAATGTTCGAAAGCGGCTTTTCTCAATTCAGATTAGCCCGCCGCAAAGCATTTTGCAAACTTTGTAGGCCTCTGTTGAAGATCACTATTGATGAATGAATGGGAGACTAAGCAGGGCGCCACTACCGTCGTCACCCGAAGAGAACGCCCGGTCATTATCGCTGCATCTGGACTGAATTCTGCGCCAAATAGAGCAATAATGACCGGGCGTTCTATTCGGGTGAGGATGGTAGTAGTCAGACTTCTGAGGCCTTGGCTTTGGCATGCACTGATATTTATCGTTTATGGTGATAACCCAAGGGATTCCTCCAGTTGCACTAAGGTTCGAGGCTGTGGTTAAAATTCTTTCCGGTTCCCAAATTCCCACTCATTGCGTACATACCCCTTTTTGCTTAATCGCTTGTGCAGCTGGATGCATGACAGCGTTGTTTTTAACTTAATAACACGTAGAGAGGGGGGTTGGAAGAGGGGGGAGGGAGGGGAACTGTTCGGGGGCGGGAGAGAGACAGAAAGTATGCAGCTGCAGATCATCACCGGGTATGTGATGGTATCATCAGGTGAAGTAGGGCCAAAGCCAAGTTGGGAGGATGGGGCACTGCAGGAGGTTGGTAGCTGAGGGGAGATGGCAGCCATAGCCGGCAAGCTAGAGACAAAAAAAAAGGAGAGAGAAAGAATCTCCACCGCGACCAACTAGAATGCAGATCGGTGCTAGCTGTTCAAGTCAGCGTCTCGTCAGTTAAAGTAGCTCCATAGCCAAGTGGGACGGTGAGGGTATGGTGGAAGTTTGCTAGCCGGCAGAGGTAGTGGCTATGGATGTCAAAGTAGGAGGAGCAAGAAGGGGGATCTCTTTGACTATTGACGATTGTAAAGCTCTTCACCAAGCTATGGATGCCAAGGTGCGACCGGCTATGTGATGCTATCGTCAGGTAAATGTAGTGCCAGAGCCAAGTAGGAGGGTGCCGAGCTGGAAGATTGGTAAATGTCCCTTTCCTTGGTTCCAGCTCGCCAGAGACAAGTAGGAGGGTGACTGTGCAGAAGATTGGTGTGGTAGCTGGTCGACGGTGAAAGCTATGGGCTATGGGTGGGTGCGGAGCTGGAACCAAGGAAGGGGACATATTCTCTGCAGGAGTCTGATTAGTTTTAGGTGCACCATACGACAAAAGAAAAATTGAGTTCGTTCGTGTATCCCTACAAAAGCTCCAAAGATATCAAAACTATCAGGTAGAGACAGTCCCCGACACAGACCTCCGACCATTGTGCAGCCGCTCCCACCAGTCTCTTGGAGACTGATGCGGGCAGTCTCTTGTGGACTCGTTATCTGTTTATTAACAGCTGTGTGTGTGTGTGTGTGTGTGTGTGTGTGTGTGTGTGTGTGTGTGTACCATTTCGCCACACAGCAGGCACAGGTTTCCACCTGTTATAATCATTATCATATGATATGATTCGGTAATGAATGGGGTCGACGATTGGCTAATTATGTACTTGGCATGTTATGACAATCGTAGAGAGAGAGAGAGAGAGAGAGAGAGAGAGAGAGAGAGAGAGAGAGAGAGAGAGAGAGAGAGAGAGAG